GAGTTGACTATGAGTCAAACAAAGGAAGCTGATTCGGATCAAGAAGAGAAGAGACTCTGTTTTTTACAGAGGCTTTGCCTTTGGAGCAGAATAATTGACTAATTGTATGTATCCAATTATTCATCATCGGTCGTACATATGTAAATTACATTGTTGAGTTGTTGTGAAACTGAAATTAACAGCTTAAGCAAGAAAACAAATTAGTTATTAAATTTTAGTTTACTAGGACTGAAAAATAGTAGTGAGGTTATCTAGAAAGTTGGAACTAGTGAAAACTAGTTTCAAAACAAAATAACACTTGATTCAAAAAGTTTTTGATTCAATTAGCATTTACAAGTTACAATTATCCAAAGATACTCCACCTCTGACCTTTTTTCTATAAATTGACACAAGTCACTGTATATGTTCTCTATTTAGAATCCATAATTTGTCTTATATCTCTCTTTCAAAAATGGTGTCTGAAGATATTGAATTCACGTGCTTTGTTGGGGGTATCTGGACTCAGACACAGAAGAAAATGATCTCGAGAGTGCACTTTCCCCATTTGGCGACGTTATATATTCTAGGGTTCGATATTTTTTTCTCATTTCACGCATTGGTGTTGAATTTTTGATCCATCATCTGTAAACAAAAATTACATCTGTTTCGCAGGTCTTTAAAGATCAACGTGATTCTGAATATCCAAATGTATATATGGATTTGTCACTTTGAAATACGAGAAGTCCATGTGGGATGCCATTAAAGGATTGAACGGTCAGAAGCTCGGGAGCTGCAGCAGCATCACTGTGCAATAGGCTAACTCAACTCACCAAAGTCGTCGTCCTCGTGGACATGTTAGTTCAAAGAACAAGGCATAAACCAGACATGTTAGTTCATATAATAATAATAATACGCTTCTAGGCTTTATATAATCATCATCACTGTGTTTGGAAGGTGGTGCTTTGAATGAAGTAGCAATTTATAGTATCAAGTTTATTCGTGTGATGTGACGTAGCAAAGTCTTGAGTACTAGTAGAATGTAATCGGACTCTCAGTATAAACGAAGTCATATTTACTATTAATAAAAGATCAAGAAAGTTTCGGGTATTTGTAATCACTATTAACAAGATCATAATACCGGTTTGTTTTGTTCCTAGACCATCTTCACATCTCTAACCAAGATTCCATATTGATCATATGTACTAAAAGCCAGTAGAAGCACAATGGGTCTTTTAATGTTAAAACGAGAAATACGGAGCTTCTCTTTGTGTATTCTATATAGATACAAAGTAAATCGGTTTGTTTCGGTAGATACAAATGTGAAATACAAATAATAATTTCTTCTTTTTGTGTATTCTATATAGATTAGCTTCAGGTCACTGTATTTCCTGCATTTTATATGGTAATTTCAACCACCGGTTAACTAAACCAATAATTTAATTTTGCTCATAATCATATAGTAGAAGAAGCACTTTGGGTTTTGGTATATATCTGATTGTGATTACTTACAGTTACAGAGGAACTATATGTCTAAAAGCAAACAGATAGCAGCTAACTGCAGAAGAACCCAAAAAAATAGCTAACTAAAGATGCAATTCAACAAGTTCTGTAACTATGTTTCTGTATAAAGAATGGTCTAATTATGTAAGAGTATTCACACTATGCACAAATGTTAAGAAGGAAAAGTTACTCTTGAGACGTCAGATAAACAGCTTCAGAGCCACTTTGCTTCATATTGGCTTTCATGTCAACAAGCTGCTCAAATGGTAAACGTAATAAAGAGATCCTCACCTGCACAAGTTCATGAAAAGCTCTAACTAAGCCTTGATGCTAAATAAAACGTCTAAAACATTAGAATTCATCATCAAAATACAGAGAAAACATATACCTTGAAGAAACCATCCCACGAAAGATCAAACCGTAGGAGTACGACAAAGCTCAATGGAAGGCAAATGCGGGGATGTAAGCACACACTTGACTGATTCGACAATCCCGCAAAACTCAACTCTTTCACGTCTTCTGAAATACAAAGCGATGATTACGCACACGATATCTTTCTGTCCCTCAGGATAAAGGCTTTGTTTACATCCTAAAATCACCAACTTTCCACCAAATTTCGCCATTTTAGACTTGTAGTAAAAGAGACAAGGCAAATCTACACCACTTTCCCCCAAATCTACACCTCTCCAATCTTCTTCCTTTGGATCATATACCACAATTTGATGTCCAAGACTAGACAGAGGATCAATGGTAAACAACAGATCATCTACCACACAACAAGACTCTTGCCACAAACTCCTCAGTCCACCCTCACCAAGCCACGATTCCCATTTACGCGTTTTAGGGTCGTAAGAAAAACAAGAACAAGGATCCAAAACGTAAATCTTTTTATTCATTACCACATACGTCACAAACTCTCCAATCCCACCAGCGTAAGGGTACGGAGCAGGGATAGGCAGATTCCAAACCCGGTTCTTTACGTCGAAAACTTCGATCCAATCCGAAACTAAACCTGAGGATCGTATCTTGAACTCGCAACCTCCGATTACGTAAATATTTCCGTCAATTACTCCGGCGGCTGCTCGGTAACGTTCCCTTCTCATGTTGGGGAGAAATTGCCAAGTGCGAGCTCTGCAATTCATGATAATCACACCCGATGATCGGTTTCTGGAGCCGTCGCGTCCACCGAATAGATACATCTCCGATCCGATTGTGACCACAGCAGATCCAAAAGGCAAGTGAGGAAGTGAATCGAATCTGCACGTTTCTAAAAAAATCCTGTTGGGTTTAACACGGAGAATGCGCCATTCTGGGGGATACAGAGTAGGGAATCCCACGAACGCATATAGTAACTCA